GAATAAGGATATGTAGCTTCCCGTTTGAAACATGACAGAAATAGAAACCATCTTACCTTTTTTATCTATATACAACGTGTATGTCTCTTAGAAAAAAAAAAAACTTTTTTAAGAGTAAGTTCGTTGCCCTGTAAGTGGTGTGGCAATATTTTATCATAACGCTTATTGATAGTGATAAAATTTGATCGTTATTGCACAATCTTAACGTTTGTATTTTAGAATCTCTGTCACGGCTGACTGCCCAATGCACTTGGAAAAGTTTCCTCTTGACACGCAAGTCTGTGCTCTCGTTATTGAAAGTTGTACGTAATCTTTTTCTCTCTCTTTCTCCCCCCCCTCTCGTTTATTACTTTAACGTACACTGTATAAGGTTATCTGATGAGTTTAGAATTTCTCTTGTACATTTTTGTATTTCGCGTATGCATGGAGGTAAAACTTTTCTTTGCATTCATTTACAATTATAATACAAATAATGGATTCTTACCAAACATATGTATAAAGTGTCACCCAAAATTAAAAAGCAGTATAGATTTTGCAATATTGTATCTTGCATTACAGATGCATACAGCACGGACACCATCATCTTCCATTGGACACAGCAGAAAGAGCTGGATAAGGCCGACACACTGACGCTGCCTCAGTTCGTCCTCGAGGACACTTCTTTTCACGAGTCGATGAAATCCTACAAAAGTGGAAACAGTTCTCGTATGTCGACAATAGTGTATTTAATTTTTTTACGGTGGAATATGCATAGCTTCAGCGACTCAAGTTTTATCTTCTACTACATACGTTGATGCTTATAATTGTAAAGTGCCACTTGTAATCAGTCTTCTGTAATTTGGGTCCTATTCTCTTTTCCCTTGACACTGATAATACTCACTATGGGAAGAAAACCCAAACCTTCATATTGATCTGGTAATAAGATTTCTCCCACTGAATCCATTATGTTTGGACGGTGCAATCTCGAATGGTAATTGTATTGATTGGGTCGAAGGGGTTAATTTTTGAGAATACTCCAGAGAAAACTGCTCCTTCTTGAATAAAGACAATAGTAGAGAAGTAATTGCATCTTTAAGTTTATACGAAAGATACGATTTGTGAACACCATGCAGGGCCGTAGCCTCCGGGGGTGCAGGGGGGGCAGCTGCCCCCCCCCCCTGGGATTTGAGGTGCAAAAAAAAAAATAATAAAATAAAATAATCGCAAAAAAATTAAATAATTGCAAAGTTGGTATCAAATCTGTGAGAAAATGCACTCATGGCCACTAGACAACCATTCAACAATCTGTTTACAAAGGTGTACTGTTTTTAGCCAACTCAGTTCATGCCAAAAAGTCCAATTGGCGTGTTGTGTTGAAAAAATGACTGTACTTATGGCAAAATGAACCCACAATTTCTGACTTCTGATTGAGCAATAAATAACAGTTAAAATGCACCAGAATGCAGTGTTATACATAGAGTTTTTAAAAATTTTCCACACCTTTGCCCCCTCGTGTCCGCTTACTGCCCCCCCTCTGGCATTTTTCTCAGGCTACGGCCCTGCCATGGCATAGTTAGATAAAATATTTAGTAGGGCCCTACATATACAACTTACCCGACAATGGTCCCACACCCCAAACTTACACAGACAAATCATCACGACACAAAAGACGGATGTAGTTATTTCTTTCCAGGTGATTTCACTCAGCTAGTGATAGAATTCGTCCTAAGACGTGACATCCAGTACTATATAGTGCAAACGTACGTCCCGAGCATGCTGATAGTGGCGCTTTCATGGGTGGCGTTTTGGATCAGCTACGACTCTGTTCCTGCCAGAATCACGCTGGGCCTCCTCACTGTCCTCACGCTGACCACGCAGACGTACGCCATACGTCAGACACTTCCCCGTGTGTCCTACATCAAGTCCATTGACGTATGGATGTCCACTTGTCTGTTCTTCGTCTTCCTGGCTCTACTGGAGTTCGCGTTCGTTAATGTCAGTCATAGGAAGTTCACACGGATGAGCACTAGAAGACCAAACGTAAGCCTACTTTGTGATTGTCTTATTAAAAAGAGCATATTTCACAAGTAGGAAGACGCTTGAAAACGATTCATTATTTTATTAAAGGAAAATCTGAGAGATTTTTTTTACAATGTCCTAAAAATCATAAACATAAATACACGTGTAAGAGGGGGCTTTTAGAAAAACACTCTGTATTTGCCGCATGTAAAGAACATGTTGTTGACATTTATTTATGTCACCTTTGAAAGTAGTAGAAAAATTGTCTCAACTGTTGCAATTTCGTAATGAGAAATTAATGGACTCGTCAAAGCATAACGTGATAAACCATAAGCTTTTAAGTTTCAGACGTTGACAATCACATTTCTAATTGTTTTAGTGTTTTGTTTTATTCCCAGATAACTCGTACAGGATTCATAAACATCGAATACCCTTGCTTTAAGGAGATGCAGTTTTAAAATACAACCAAAAGCTTAAATTTCACTATCAGCATCAAGTTCTCTATCAGAATGATGGATATCTTTTCTTAAGTCTTTACATGTAAAACACAGTATTTCAGTCCATGGCTTTTATTCTAATCCATTTCTTTTAGCTATTTCTTTAAGCCATCTTACTTCATATCTTTTTAAAACTGGGACGGTAACATAATTTCCTTTTTATATATCTTATAATATCAGGAATATATACCATGGCTGAGTAAACATTTTTTATTATGATCATTATCATCATCATCATTTTATTATTATTATTATTATTATTATTATTATTATTATTATTATTATTATTATTATTATTATTATTATTATTATTATTTTATAGATTCCTAGGAAGTCCAAGGAGGACGCGGAGGACGGCACTCCAGCCAGACGACAGGGCCATGAAATCCGCGCCAGCACACTGGACAGGATCTCCCGAGTGGTGTTCCCGGTCTCTTTCTTAATCTTCAACATGATCTACTGGACGGTGTACTCGCTGTGGGAAGATGAAGGACCGGCACACAAATAAAGGACGGGATTTACAGAGAGTTACTGACCTTGTTCATCTTTATTTGCTTTCAGTGTGAAGAATTCGATACCCGCGTGAGACTTAAAGTCAGTTGCACAACCATATTTCATCCAGATAATCGCGTCACAAACGTCATTATTATCAAGTACTGATAAATGTTACATTGCAATTAACCAGCACGTACCCCAGTTACAATTAACTCTCTTTGTAAATTTACTTTTGACCAAGTTATACAAAATTTGCCATTTTCGAACAAATGCATCGTTTTGTTATAATTTTTGTCAAAAATGCAATCCTCCCTGTATATTTCCTTTATACATAGCCCATTTCAGTATTAAGTTACAAAATAATTATTCCGAGGATAACTGTAAACTTATTTTCTCAACCAAGAATTGTGTTAGTGCACAGCTGTCGCAATGGGGACCCAACTCCGGCCGCGAAGACTCCAATATTGTGTTGGCCGCCTTACACGACAATTTCTCATTGCAGGGAGAAGAGTTTGGGCATCCCATTTCCAATGAGTACTAGCAACACGTACATGGAATTCTTGGTTTCTGCGACTTAAAATGCTTCATTTTAACGCTCTTCTATTTAACACAAAAGAAAACAGGCCACATGTACTGTTGTTGAGAACATGATCAATTTGTTTCATAATAGTAGGCTTGTTAAGAGGTCAAACGCTGCATTTTATAGTACAAATGTCTAACTTGGCATAAATGTACCTTGGGCCAAAATAAATTTTTTTATCCAAAGAGACGCCCTCTATCGATACATTAATTAGCATAAATTATGCAAATTATGTGCCAAAATATATAATATTTCATATTTCCATTAATTTTTGGCCTAGAAACATGTGTAGATTATCAAACCTGACTAAATAAGGGACAAGGAACCCATTTTTGATCATTTGGAAGCAATTGGTGGCCATTTTGTGCCTCAAATCCAAGATGGCCGCCACCCGCCATTTTGAAAGTGGATATAATTTTGCTATTTTATGTTGAATTTTGAAGCGTTTGGTCTAACTATACTTGATATATATCGATTCCTACTANATAATTTGCATAATTTATGCTAATTAATGTATCGATAGAGGGTGTCTCTTTGGATAAAAAATTTTCTTTTGACCCAAGGAACATTTATGCCAAGTTAGACATTTGTACTACAAAATGCAGCGTTTGGCCATTTTTTGGTCCTTAACAAGCCTACTATAACTTACATTACTGGTTATTTTGACCATGCTTACAAGTGAAAATTTAAACTGGATTCTATTTACATCGAAAAAAGTCTGTGAAGTCTGTGTTAATCAGTAGGTTTCTCATTTTATTTCATTTACATTTTTCATATCAAAAGACAATATAACAAAATGCCCAAGAAAGTCCTGCTCAAAGTGACATTTCTAGGGTTTTTTTAAATAAATTTTTTCTAAGAACATGTGGTAGTAATTGTCAATCCTGCACACTAAATGCAGGACCTTACACAAAGTTCTATTGCACTGTTCAATGTCTAAACTGTATTATACAATAAACAATGATAAAAATGTAATGTTTGCAAATAAAAGTCTTCACTACATTGGCTGGAGTCAAAAATTTCATTAGTGATACATCAAAGCAACGCTTTGCTTCTTTTTTGGCCTTCTTTAGTGAAATATAAATTTATAAATATTCTTTAATACAATTTTATCGAACCTGTTTGACACTGATGCCCCAATTTCCAAACAGACTGGAAGCTAGGACTGGAAGTTGAGATTCCCTTCTCTGTGTGGTGTTTCATTTTATCCTTAACATCCTAAACATGATTATAAAAAGTGATCATACAAGCAATGAACAAAATAAACAGACAATGAATTAATCTCTCCTGCTCTTACTTCAAAACGCGTAGGTTTAGACGACCATCCAAATGTGCTCTTTCATCAACTCTCAAACAACTGCATTCCTATGACACTGAATACATAAAGATTGTACTTATCGGGAAACAGTTTAAACCTACACCACTACATAGCAAGTAGCACATCTGGGCACATATCCATGTACATAGTTACAGCAGGTGCTTAGTCTTTGAGGTGCACAGAGATAGGGGTCCTGTGACATGTTTTTCACCAAAAACTAAACAACTGTTACAGCAATACATCCTTAACTCCATCGTGATTTGATAAAACAATGAAAATAAATATAAAAATGTTATAACTCTGGAGATGTTATAGCTTTGGAGATTTTCTTAGCAGTGTATGGCTTAGCAGCATTATTAGTTTCAGGAAGAACACCAAGACCATACGATACTTTACCAGAGCACAAAGATACAGGGCTAGGTCTCCTGCACTTATCACTGACTGGACAATGTCCAGTACTTACTGACCACCTTCCATCACATCACTGACAGCGATTGCTTTACACCATGAACATGAGAATACAGTGAAGGACCTAAATATTGGTTAACCTCTTTGGTATCAGCTCTCCTAGCAGGAGAAGATAAAGACGGAATAACCAGTGATTCCTCTTCCAAGCAGACTGCAGCACAAGTAATGATACATACATCCACATAACCACAGCTTCACAATGCTGATGTGCTGTTATAGTGTCACCAAATAAAACGATATTTTCTGATTGTCATTTGAAGTCAGCGAGGCAGGTGACACTGAGCTGGGTGGACATGTGTTACTGCCCATCTGTACTTCATAGAGTGCCGTACTCAAGGAATGACAGTCACTTGGCCTCACTTGTGACACACTTCATAGATAAAGTAGCATTTCTGTCCTTCAGATGCATTACAATCCTTTTAGCAAACTTGGCCTTAACTTTGTTGAACTCCATGATGTGGGGCTTCTCTGCAAGCCAGAACTTGTCAAATTCATGGAAAAGATAGCCTAAAAGAACAAGCGAAACAAAATTCAGTTTTTTTTTTCACAAAAAGTTATTCTCTAACTTTTCAAGGAATTCATTTAATACAGCAGTATACAGCAGTTAAAAATTGTGAAACCTCTAAATTAACTTTGAATCATACAGCTCAGCAATAAACATGTATCTCTCATAGTAAGAAACATGCTGTTTGGTTCCAACCAGAAATATACCAGTTTACTTTCTGTATACACAAATACACTTATTTCCCAGACATGTAGGCCCTTTTCACACTGCACAGTTCACGTTTTTTCATACCATTATTTGAATTTGACAACTTATTAGCCATAATAGTGTAAGAAAATTGCCTAAATGGAGGTCCCACTATTGAAATGGTCAGATTACTGGATTCAATTAGATTGGTACATTGAGGCTTGTGAAGGATAATAGATCATAATGTAATTGCAGGGCCAGTCAAACTGGTATGATACAGAAAACTTCCCCACTCAATGTGAACAGAGCTGTGGAACAGTTACCCATTCTGTTCAGGCAGGCAGGCAGGCAGTACTTACAATACACTTGATGGAAGTGATCTAGCTTAGGTTTGCCCTGTACCACATTGTAGAAGTGTGTCTTGAGAGCTCCTGAGATCAACAACTGATGAGCCACCCCCGTCAGGTTAATACCAACTATAGCAAAAGAATACCTGAAATATACAGCAATTTGTAATTATGCTTTATCATAGAGCTATTATCATTATTATCATTTCTTAAATAGGTGCATGTCTGGCAAAGGCCAGAACATCTTTTACTGAACTTTTTTTAAAAATCATATACCGACTGAGTAGGATCTTTTCAGCAAACAAAGCCAGAAAGATTTTTTAAATCCTTACTGCATTATAAAAACCAAAGAAATATTGAAAGCTTATATTGTGAGTTAGAAATGAATGGAAGAAATATAAAACCATCATTGTCTGTTCTACGTGTTCTTCTTTGTCACAGGTGTTTGAAAAATAATCTGCAGATTTTCTAATGAAATCTTTTCATGACAAACATGTTTATCCTTACTAAAACTATATGTAAAGGTTCCATCATATGGACATATGGCACAGGCGACATCTGTTATTTTTCTTATGTTAAGGTGACTGACACTAGAGGTTATGAACAGAACTGATCAGTCAAATGAAGTAAAGCACACGGTATCTTAAAGACATCAGAAACTTTCTTAAATTTCAGATCACTGCAAAAACTCACAACAGCATTTAACTGCCTTCGACAAGGAAATTATGTATTTTCTGCCTTTGTTAAATTGTTATTCGATCCAAAGTTATTACGATAGTTTCTGGGAATGGTCTCTTAGTCATAAGTGCTATGATACTGGTTTGGTCAGTCTTACCCATATTGAGGATGGTGTGAGTGAGACAACACTTGTCTTGCCGTGGAGTTATGCTGCGTGGCAAAATACCTGAAACAGACAAAAAAATCCTTTGACTTATTCATGTGAAACACTGCAATTTTCTCATATAGCAAATAATGCCAAAAAGTATCTTATTGAAAAAAGTTAAGAGACAAAAATCAAAACTATGAAATGCTTCATATGATATTTCTGATGGCTCACAAACACGATACAACTTTTATGCATGTCTTAAAATCAATGCCAACATCCATTCATTCAACTATCATAAATGCACACGATAAACTTGAAGGCTTAATTATAAAATGTAAAGTATAATTAATTGTTGAAATTGCATGTCCAGATTGCACTAGAAACAAGGACAGGACTAGGATAGAACAAAGAGATAAGGAAATACCTAGAAATAGGAATTATTTCTGATAGGGAGAGGGAGGGGATTGACATTCACCACCTTTATGTCCAAAAAATTGTAAACTAAAGCAAAAATTAATTTTTTGGGGCAATTTCTTAACAAAGATTAACCGATGGGTACAAAGGTACTCTTTTTCAGAAATAAAGTCCACTTTAGAAATTGCTGGTAACAGGCACAATATATAACACAAGTTATTCCTTCTTTGATTTTAAAAAAAATTTCATGGCATCTGGATCCAAGCCAGATCTTGCTCTTTCTAATGCACTTGTCCCTCAATTGTGGTTTCTCTGTCAAAGACCTCCAACTAGTATATATATATACCACAACAATTTCATGCTTTCATGGATAAAGAGCAATTGCACAGTTTTTATCAAAACAACAGCACATCCCACCCATGTTATCAACTTTGTTCAGAAAAGAAATCCACAACTTTACAAGATTAATTTTCTTTAATCATCTAATTTCAAGATGATGCACCTATGCATACATTTCCACGACTTATTAGATATAGCAACACCAAGGGAGGTTCCTCCTAACCAAACCCAATGTAACATGAAATTCCCTTTAAAACAAGTAAACTGCCACAGTCTCTGATCACTGGTGGCACATTATACTGGTAAGAAATCAACTGGTGCCATCCCCACCCCTTGTACCAACTGCCACGCTATCACTCAAGCCAAACCAGGCGATAGCATCATCAGCTCAAACCAGTCATTTGGCCATTAGTATCATTATCATCACTTTAAGTGGCAGTAATCCCAGATCTCAGCCAGCTTTGATAGACAGCCCTTTATTTCCTTGTCTACAGGACTTGCCACTTACACAGGGTTTAAATTCAAATAGATCTAATAATGGCCGTTTGCTTTGTCATATGCATTTGATCACCGAGTGCATACTGATATACCATGTCACTCTCGTCTCCAGTATAATGCAACATGTATTACTGCACTGGTTCCTGTATTTTCTTGTTAATTCTTGGTGTACTATTTCCTCAACCATGTTTCTTGCCATTAGAAATATAGTTATGACAGTGTCAATGTCATTTCAGATGGTTCATCTGCATTAAATCAGAACCAAAAGAAGAAAATTCTCTCTCTCTCTCTCTCTGTGTACACACGTGTCCCCGGTGTGTGTGTGTGTGTGTGTGTGTGTGTGTGTGTGTGTGTGAAGGTGCACCATAATAGAAAGTGCTTCCTCCCTCCCCCTGCATTACGGAAGGCAAGTATCTTTCTATAATACAATAAGTAATATGTTTGCATTGCATCTTTTTAAATTGCAGATCCCAATATAGAGACTGGTGTCTAGATCTTGTACTAGAACAGCTAGCAGATGTCCAAGTTTGCTCAGCAGATTTTATCACGTCCTGGGGGAGGAGGGGGGGGGGGGGCTCCCAGCTGTCAGTACACTGACATAGCCTGATGACATGCCAAAACTTCCATCATCACAAATTAAGAAGAAACCCAATAATCTGATATCTAACTAACTAATTGGCCTTGACACCCCTCATATCTACATGCCATAGATCACTTGAGGGAGTACTGTAGTCTGAATGTCTAGAGATTGGTAGGGGGGTATATTATAATACAAATCATTAGGGGGGTATATTATAATACAAATCATTAAAAAAATGTGTGAAATACATACAGAAGATTTTGTAGTCCCAGGAGTCCCATTCCCCTGAAGTCTGTCATGGGGTCGTCACCTTGGAAGCCAATGTCTCCCCACTGCCTGTTATATCTGGACTGGAGAGGAACGTCTGGCATCAGCTTCCGCCATAGCTAGAACAATAATAACAACATTATTAACAAGTTATAATCTCTATTTAAAATTGTCTTTTTTATTTATTTATTTTTTTGAGAATATCTCTTCTTAATTTTTTTCTTCTGAACAGGAGGTTATAATCTCCATCTTATCAGCTTAAAAAAGAAACCGATGTCGACTCAGTATTTTATCAGCTTAAAAAATGAAATTAATGTCACTTCAGTTGCACTTAAATTGCAATGCGATCAGGAAAGCAGAGCTCTGGTCCAGCACCTCCGGAGCAGATTAAATCTGATCTCATGGGCAGCAATTGAAACTTTTCTTTAGAATGGACCCTCATCCAAGGTATACAAAGACCTTATAATTCTTACCATTATCCCCACTTTACAAACCAACAATCACTCCAACCCAGTAAAAGAAACATTGTCATAAATACAGGCACCTGATACGGGTATAACAGTGTATTATGTGGAACAAGTAACGCTTGAACTCCAGTGTCATCAAGTCAAGTGAATTGTGATCAGTCTGAGTAGAACACCTCCATGCTATTATATATATTTTAGACAGTAACAACAGTGTTTTCCATGTAACTTAATACATGAAGATACCAGGCCAATGATGCACATAGTGTGTGGTAAGTGGAGGCACTGACAGAGAACACTTCAATGAACTGTTGCCCTGAACTTATCATTGCCCTTTTCAGCACAAAAATGTGGCAATTGAAAAAAGTTATTTTTCTTATTTCTTTTCTCTGTTGAGGTGTTCTTTTTGTGGTCTAAACATTGAGACACCTCAGCTACACATGGCAAAACATGTGTTGGTTGCTTTCTTCTACTTCTTTCTCCTCCTTTTTCTTTCTTTCTTTCTTTTTTGCAAATGCATCAAAGCTTTATGTTTATATACCAACACTTGTAGGTATTAACACACAGATTAACACGCAACACATTCAGTTCTGAGAATCAAAATAATGAATGTAAGAAAAAAAATTGCAGTAAACATCGTACCTCAAGTAACATTTCTTCATGTCTGTTGTTCTCTGATGAGTATGGTGTTTTCCTCACACTCTCCAGTTCTGTGATGAATTCTCTGTAGCCACAGATCTGTGTAAGACATATATGGATTGTAGGTTGGAACCTGGCAAAGAATTAAACATACATGCTTTAACTTAAATTGAAGAAATAGTGTTCAGTGATAGTAAGGTCCTATGACTTTGACATGAACTGCAGAGGTGGTTAAAAATCTGAAATCAAACTTTCAGTAAAAAATACAAATATATATGTGCATGTATATTTCACTGTGTGTGTGTGTGTGTGTGTGTGTGTGTGTGTGTGTGTGTGTGTGTGTAGATACTACTAGATTCATATAACTTAAGGCCTAACATAAAATTATAATATAGCCAAGGGAGATCTCTGAGGGAAATCAAGAACAAGCATTGCATCTCCTTACTGAACACTCAATGTCTGAAAGAGGGACCTTGTAAAAAGAAAAACCTAATAAAAATAATATATATGGAGAGAGACAGAGAGAGAGAGAGAGAGAGAGAGAGAGAGAGAGAGAGAGAGAGAGAGAGAGAGAGAGAGAGATGCAGATGCTTTGATATCACTTGATTCTAGTCTTGTCTAGATTGGACATCACATAATCTCACTGTCCACTACTGTCCAGTGACCCAAGTCAAGACTGCCACCTGTCATCTCCATCCTCCCAGGTGCTCCAGTCGGGGATACCAGAACAGAAACTAAGCTACTGACAACAATAAACATTGCCATTGACATACCAAGGACTTGAGTCAAGCTGACCATCTGCTCAAGCTTTTTTGTTTGTTTGTTTGTTTTAAACTCCTTATGAAAAGTATTTGTGAAAATGACAAAATCAACTGGAATGCTTCTTAAGCACAGACAACAGGCATAAAAAAACTCACTGTGGAATAAGGCATGCTACTTCTTAATTTAAAAGGATGTTATCCATAAATATGATAAATAAGGAAAGATTACCCCTGGAGTCACTTTATTTGAAAATAAATCTCTATCTCAGCTGCCTTTATTACTGTTATAAATATCATCAGCTGCCTTTTTTATACCTTCAACCATAATAAATTGGACAATCTTCACAGATTTAAGATTGTTTCTACAGTTTTCAGCATAGCAAGGAGCAGCTCTAGTCACAGGCCATACAATCACTAATCCAGGTGTCTGTAGCTAGAGCCTATCACAGAGCTATGTGACAGATGTGCAAGTGTCAGGTGAGACAGGTGTGGACTGCAGGTAGAGCAGATGGGCATACCTGGACACTAAGTCCCCTAGGTGGACCCCAAGCCCAGATATGTGGTGGAATGCTAACTCGCAGGTGGAAATGCCAATACTGTTCTCTCGAAGACCTCCCTTTAACAGAGATTTATTTCTTAACTCAATGCTTTTCCAGATTGGTAATGAATATGAACCTCAAGGCTGAAGCCAGAAGGTGTAAATTTCTCTAAATAATATCAGGTTACTATTGAATCTTTTTTCATTACAACTTGATTAAGCAATTGACCACAAATGGTGGTAAGCTTTCCTAGCTGTCATATAAAATATGCTATTAGTGAAGAATAATTCATTCTGTCAGCCACTATGAACTATCTGCCAGTCATCTCTCAGAAATACTCTGATGTTTGCTTATAATTTCCTGACAATTTCATCATTTTAAATGATATTCAAGACATCCAGGTATTTCACATTGTTTTTAACAGAACAGCAACAATGAGGTGCCCAGTTGTAGCTAGTATGTCACTGCATGGGATAATGCATTCTACCAACTGAAACAAGTCACCAGCTGGCTGTGACTAAATTACCAACAGTTGGGCTCATTTTAATGTCACAGTGAATTTTGGATTCATATATAGCTGAATCAAGTCATAACAACAATTAAGTCATATAACAGAGACAAATACAACAAATCCACCAAAAACCTGACAGTTGACACATTAAACCTTCCCTTAGCACTAAGAGACATATAGGCCAATTAAGGCTTGAATAGGTCAATTACAAAGCACACTGTCACATGGCTTTTGCGAGTTTTTTATGGGACATTCAATTCCTCCCTTTGTTAAGATTACCTCTGCTGTCAGAACTGTTCTTTTTACATTCACAACTAAAGGACCATCAATTCACGTCAATCTAAACACTCCACTTGCACAAAGTTTACTTCTCTGTTGCACAGTTTATTTACCTGCTGGTCTGCAAGGTAATTTCCCAGGGCTAGGGAGATCATGGGAGGCCATTACTGTCTTCTACACAGAGGATACTGTGTCACTTGTTTTATACTCAAACCCTGAGAACTCTGACCACTGCATGCTCACAGGGAGACTTCCCACTACCTTACAATGGAGGAGGCTGTAATCTACTTAGGAAGAATTTCTTTCTCGTCTCCATAGTAAATATTTATACAGGTACAGCAAAGCATTATTATAATGACAGTTTTATGGCACAACTTTGTATTTGGAGAAAGAAGTATGAAAAAACAATGCAATCTAAGTAACCACATTTAATGTAGTTAACCAGAAAAAATCTACCAGGCACATAAGATCTTTATTGTAAGCAACTATGCTTTAACATTGGTGTGGTTTTTACACAAAGTGCTCATCAAGTTCTAAAATCTGATAAATTTGGGATATGGGGATATGATAATGACTGCAAAACAATTTGCTAAATGCAGTAAATCAAAAATATTCCTCTGGGCAGAAATTAATTAGGATAAAAACAAAGGACTGAAATCTGTCCTGCAGAGGATTGAACTCTATTAACAAGAGTCCACAGAAAATGTGCCAAAAAAGCTTTATGCTTTAATCATTTTCACATTTTCATTATTTCACTGCCAGAATCCAATTAAAACACTGCTGCCTGGAGTGAAACTAATTAATTTTTACCAAGCTGTGGAAACAGTAAGTCTTCTGTATAAATCATCCCGACCTTAAATTTGAGTAAAAAATGTGGGCTCAAGCAACTGTGCAAGATTAGCTCACATTCATTTCTCCCAAGATGGTGAATCAACTTATTTTCCTGAACCATTTGTAATCATGTAACAAAACCTGAGATAACAATACTTGTAAGTCTCGACTTGTAGATTAATGTTATGGATGTTACTCCACAAAATCAGTTTTGTTGTGAAAGAAAATAAAGACAGCAACTTGTGACATATACATGTGCATGTGTGTAAATCATCACTTCATACTTCCACAAACTCCTACAATTTTCTGAAATTAACTGAAATCACAAAGAGCACACTTTTCTGATAGATATTTCTTGTAAATACAGACCACAATTAACAAATCAGATTCTCTGTTCGCCAAAAAGTGGAACATTTTTGTTTAATTACAAAAAATACAAATCAACTACAAGTAGAAGCACTGTTAATCCCATAGACAACAAACATTTTGCAACTTGATGCAGGAAGATCAACAAAAAGGAATCCCCCAGACAACAAACAATTTCTGCCACTAGATCTAGCAGGTGATTCCAGTAGTGACACCTTCCTCATACAACCTGAGCAGTAAGCAAACATGGTCATCCTCATGTGTTGTTACTCTGAAGATACGTGTAAATGATGGCAATCTAAACCCATCATCTAACTGGGACCCCTCAGGAAAACACAACAGAGATGATCTGACGCTTCCTCTCCCCTCAGATGACACTGTGTTGGCAGATATTCTTATCAAAGAAACTTAATGTTACATATCTTAGACACAAATCTGTATCCTGGAAAAAAGCTCAGCTAATATTTCCTTGATTCTTTCATTATAGTTCACTGACTGATCTCCCTAAGACTCAAAATAAATAAGATATCCTGGATTATATTTGCCTTGCTCCTCTAGCCAATGTTATTCAGCATTACCATTTTTTGTATTATACAACTAATCTTCTTAAGACTAAAAAATCAATTTTGTGTGCGTGTATCCTTGATTTGGGAACAGCTCAAGTTTCCTTAATAATTAGTTCATTCCTTTCAAGCTCTATAAAGAGAACCCAGAAAATTTTACTCATTTGACTCCCAGAAGGATTGTTAACTTTCATAAGAACCTAAGAACAAAGCAGTATCCTGTCTATAATTTTGTACATGACTTAAGCTATTCATTTTTTTTTTCAGAATGATCATGCAAACCATTGTGTAATGATACCATAAACTGGGCTAACAATTTTCAACAGAAAAGATCAATTTGAGACATTTGGGAAATATTATTTCTTTTGCAGTATATCCTTTCCTGTGAAATCATTACAAAAACTGGAGAATTATTCCAGATCAGATATTATTTAACCTTTTTCTAATAAGTGGACAATAACCACATTGGTTGGTAGTGGACAATGTTCACTCATAAATAAAAACAATAATATCACATTTTCCTTATTTCTTTTTCTCTTGCTATTACACATATTGGAAAATATGACTGAACAAAACATGTGTTTTATCTCCTAATTTTTGCAAAAACTTTTTCCATTTTGGCAGCAACTAGAAAATTGGAGACTTTCTAATTATAAGTTAAAACGCACATCAGAGTTAAATGAGCTTTCCCAGCTGTCAACACACTGGCAACTGCAGCACATTTAGTATAAACTTAATTTCTGCATTGTACACAGAACTGCTGTTTAATATTCACTACGCCTTTTTTTTATTGCACTACATCTTTTTTATGTCTTTTTTTTTGTAGTCCCTGTTGTACATAGCCAGTAGTTTAGAGAGCACACTACTGTAAACTATTCAACGAATTATTATCATCATGATCATTAATAACTGGATCTCATACATCTGTCCCTATAGGGACTCATAGTGGTGATATATGCTGTTTGTTAACAAGCTCTCTAGTCCTGTATCACACCCTCATTTGTCCTGGTAGCACTTCAATGTCCATCTGTTTTGATTAATTTACCACAGGATGCTGTTATGTATCTGATGTTTTACAAGTGTAATTTACAGTTATGCTGCTTTGAAAACCACCGGAAATCAAAAGTAGCCAAGACCATTTCAGGAAATTGAATCTAGCAATGCCCATCACAGGAAATCAAAAATTGTGACAGTATTCAATATAAGAAAATCTTTATTAAAAGAAAAGCACTAATAGTCTAGCAGGTATATTAAATTTTTTACTATACATACTGCAGCCACAGTTATCTTTTCTAGTCTCAATCCTTTCATTTTTACAAGTACTTCAGTTTAATTGTAAAAATAAAAATAAATAAAATAAAATAAAAATCCAACATGCTCAATTAAGCTATTCACTCATTTGTATAGACTAAGGGCAATGTTTCAAAGTATGCTGACAAATTATAAAAATTAAATCTGAGCATTAAACTCTTGGGCAAGACATTTATACATATAATAAAGTACAATAAAATAGAGCCCAACTTACTGAGGGTGGACTTCCACTGTGATGGACTTGATGCTGAGGATCTGTTCTACTGCCTGATCTATGTTCACATGATTGTCTGTAAGCAAACGCTTCAATGCTTGGAACTTGGAATGTTTTAATGACTTTTCTGGAAAAAATAAGATACGTCAACATATATATATTTTAATTTACATAAGTCTATTACATATGTATATTTCATATCATTCAATGAATTAAAAAAAAACACAATGTTAATCATATCGTGGGAACTAAGGTTATCCTTTGTCATATTCTTCACAAAAAGTTGAGAACTTCTTTAATGAGAAAAATACAATCCTGAGATCAAAAATGGTCATTTCAAATAGCAAACATTTCATTACACAAGCATCTTTTTTTTTGCAAGCAATGATTATGCTTTACATAAACAAATCTTAAATATTCTAGCACATCATTTGTAAATAGCGTCTAGTAAGAAAAGGAAAGTTGAATCTGTTATTCTAAAATGCAGCTTTCTTCCTTTTCGCCTGGATGACAAATATCAACCAAATTTCTAACAAATAAACAAACAGATAAACAAACAAAAAAGTCAGCCTTAAACCCAACACAGTTTTACAGGCAGCTGACCATGGGCAATATCATGACACAGGTACTTAACCAGTGATTTGTGACTACTGTCCACCCAGCAGCTATTGAAGTAATGGTCATCTTACACTGGCTGCAGCTTGACCACAGGAAATGAGGAGGGCACTGCCCATTAATAGGACCAGGCACGGTCTTGTGACCACTAAAAGCTTTTAATTCCTTTTCTCTTACAACAGGTATGTGTTTAATCACATGGTCTACTGTCCACAATTGACCACTGTCACCAAGATGACCTCATACCCTCTCCAGGACACTAATTGCTGACCGGTGGACGTGAAGATAAAGATTGTAATCAAGAAGTTTATGAGAATTAAATGGCTGTTGTGAAGTATATGTTCAGCAATTAAAAACAAAGATCTAAGGTGAACACACACATACATATATATATATTGGGGGGGGGGGGGGGGGAGACACATAATTGTAAACAAATTATTTGAAATTCTACTTAGTCATATTGATATTATAGGTGCAGTTATTCCAACACCATGAATAGCTATCTGAAAAGAAATGTCATTTATCTTCTCCGGGTTGGCTAGATTTAAAGTATCTATATAGGTGCTAATAATGTCCCAAAGAGCATGAAAACCTAAATAGATTTCATAGTCCATGCTTTATACTGAACAGTATTCCGTTTACAAAGCATCTGCCTACACTTTTGGAAGACAGTTGTGTGTTAACACATGGACTTGAAAAAAACCTGAAGAAAGCTGATAAGCAATTCCAAATTACAAATCTATAAACATGCTCATGCCATCTACTAGTATATCACATCTCGTAACCTCACTCAACTCCTTCCTATCTAACATACACACAAAGCTTGCATTAATTAATGCAACTCAACCTCATTCTTACCCAACATAGAGATAACAGTGGACAATAACTGTGAAGAAAGTTGCCACAATAGTACACTGAAATTTGCAACTCAAATTTCCTATTGGAACATTGTCACCTGCATGGGAACAGGAGAACCAAAACACACCCGAGACCCCACAATTTACCAAATAGAAACCCTTTATCAAAGCCTACTGGCCTGGGCTAGGTTGTGGTAGGAATTCTTCTACAAAAAGTACAATTACCATAAAGTAATAAATTATATTTTACTCATATTAACTTAGGCAATCCTCCTAAATGTCAAAGATGGCTATAGCAATGCTAGTAAATATCACGCAGAGTTTGGTAAAACATGACAAAAGTATTGCAAAGTATATGGTAACCCTAAATATCACATGTACCAGCATGTTTTTGTCTGCCCAGTAAATCCTGGCAGTTAATAACACAGTCCAACCCACTGAGAGCCTTTAAGAAATGCTACATTCAGTAAATTGTCCATAATGGCCCTGTTTAGCTAAGTGTTGCGTAAGTACATCCTTCACCACAGCTAGAGGTCTGAGCCTTCTCTCCAGGGACTCGGATGTAGCATGCTTGCTTCCATCACACACTGGATTTAATACTGAGATGTCAAGATAGGAAAGGTGAGAAATAACAAGATAAAAAAAGAAAAAAGAAAAAAAGAGCTAATTTATTCACACAACTTTAGGAGAAATCTGTTTAATTCGAGTATCCCTGAATCATTTCATGGCAGATTTAATCAACTGGTTTCTTTGATCTTTACCAACTCATGTAATATCCTCTTCTAAATATCAATTTCAAGCATACAAGTCGAGTACTTCAGTCTCTTTTACTTCCAAACAGAAATTTCGCATATCACAACTTAAGAGTTTTTTTTTCGCGAATAATAGAATAAGCTGCATACCGAGTCAAATCAACCAAGACAGCTGGTCAATGGAGAAAAAATTAGTTACAACTGCTGAATAATTAATGAAGTTATATTTTTCAGTTATCTTTCAGTAATCACTAAAACTCTGGCACTCAAGTAGTGTCAGCTATAAGGAAATCTGTCTAGCCAGGTAATATTAACATACCATATTTGCATACAATGACACAGAAAGCGCTTCCATTTTAATTGATCTTAGTCATTCCAGGGTGAATCCCCCCCTATACCTGAGACATCCCTGATACTATCAGGTGTATGACTGTTACGTGGACATCAGTCAATGTGTCACATGGGGCATTCCCATACCTGAATAGTGATTTAATGGGTGTTCATTTCAGGCCTTTCTTTTAGCTGAAGGTGCCATTTATTTACCTGGTAGTTCATTGGTCAGGTGTTTCTAAAGATGGAATTATAATTATTAAAAACCATCTAAACTATAGGATCAGAGAGGCGATACCGCCTCCCGATATAGTACCACCAGCTGGAGCAAGCACATTCATATGGACCCCCCCCAAAAAAAGAGACACCACCACCAGTCTTGTGCTTGACAAGCTCTATAAAATGCAATCAACAAGAATTCTCAAAATATGCAAAAAAAATACAACCAAAAATGGTACAATCAAAATTCAGTTCATCATAAAAAGTAGGTCAAAGGTCAATTTTAAGGTCACAGTAAATTGCCAGTATATGACTTCCTATTCAAGTTCAATAGTAACTATGGACCTATCTCTACCAGTTTTGGAGATAAAAGGAAACCAAATTTTACAAAGTTCAATTCATGATGAAAAGTANGCGGAGCCGGTGGAGCCGCAGGAGCCGGCGGAGCCGCAGGAGCCGTACGAGACGGGTCGGGACTAAAACCATGAGTACCGCCAGCGTACACGCTGGTGGTACTAATGATACCTAAGGCCACTTTTTTATTGCAAATCAATGTCACTTCTTTTTTTGCTAAAAGCAATGTTTGAGGAATGAAAATATGCTGATATGATAATGCCTTTTAATACTATATGTTTATGTTATAAATTTGTGTACAAAGAAATGAGTTTAGGATCTCCTACATTTTAGTGCATTTCAATAAAATAATTGTGCAAATGCTCCATCTACAGTTAAGTGCAGCTCACTGCCAAATTACTTTATCACCTACTTATATGTATATGAATCTTCTTGAAAACCCCTGACTATGAAACGGAAATTTAATCATTAAGTATCAGAAACAATCCAAAGAAGAGATAATGACACAAATCACACTTCCTACTCTAACTGATTAAAACCACAACTGTTCAGAAAGATTATAACATAATCAAATAGAAACTTAAATGATAAGTGCATTTAGTTGATAAGGAATGCTCCTCAAACACAAACACACACATACACTGAGCCACATTACCCATGACAAGTACAAAATGTTCAACAATGAAATCACTCGATTATTTCATATTGTATCATTGGATTAGACCAGCAAACAGTACAAAAGCATACTACTTTCCGTATACCCCCTGGATTAATCTTGACTTGTTCTTGGCCCAGGAGGTAAATGCACGATCTTTTCATGACCAGGTCAGAATAGGAGACTTTCATAGTAATTTCCCTGGATCAAGTCACATTAGCAACCACTGTGATATTGTCCATGCACAGCAAGTACACAACATTAATGAGGAGATTGCACAATTTTCTCTAATACAACGTGAAACAATATTCTTTTTCTAACAAGAAGAACATTGACGTAAACATGCACTTGTTAGCAGCTGACAGCACTCATCAAGACTGCAATTAGTGTTAATTAGCAGTTAAGTTAACTGTTATACTGATTGTATCTACATGTAGAAGTCATACACTCCCGCCAGGAATTTTATCAGCTGATCTGTTGGTGTATTATTCCACAAAAATTTCATCTCCAGGAAAAGTGAAAACCTACTAGTAATTCTATCCTTAAGTCAAGCTGTCAAGATGTTGCAAATCAATATGCAAGTTACATTTCTACTTATGACAGCTGCTGTAATATTAAAGCTTATGACAGCAGCTATGATATTAAAATGCTAATACTTAGATGAACTAGTAAATTTCAACATAAACAAGATATTAATTCAATCCATTTATGAGAAGTCACCTTAAAAGTTTTTTTTGTTTAATCAGTTGTTTTAATTCATCTAAGGGAGTATTTAAAAACTAACTGACATTTATTCCTATCAGCTTCTACATTGTTTGAGACATTTTCCAAGACATTCAAACTCTCACTCATGCAGCGTGCTAAAACCAAAGCACACTACATATATATAGAATTTACTACATATAGAAGGCCCAAAACCATGTACAATCTTCTAAATCTTGATTGTGCTCAAAAATGCAGACAGAGACTCGGAGACAGTCTTCTCTTTCATACTCTATCCTGATCATACACCATAAAATGGTTTCACAAAATTCCCCTATAGATAAAATATTCTACATATTTTCTGTAGCTATCTGTGAAGATGGTTGGCCATGCATATCATAAGTCACTTTTATCTGTATTATACTTAAACTCCCACACATTTCTTGAACTTCCTTTTCTCATATACCATAAATAGAGCTTGGGTAACAAGTGGTTATTGGATTCATAACAATAGTCACTTTCTTTTTCTTTTTTTTTTTTGAGATAAACCAATGACTTATATATCCTTAATCTTGATGAATCACAATTATTTCATCACATATGATATGATTTGACTTTTCTCTTCTGAAAGATATTTCTATTCAGAACATTCAATCTGCCACAGTAATGTACTAACCCAATAGAGAACTTACCAACATTCTGTGTTTTTTCACCAATACTGGCCTTCTTGTTGGTACAAATCCTTTCCAACTTGTATCCAAAAATAAGAATTAACAGGCAAGACATCATGGCAAATGTTCAGTTACTAATTCCAGTACCTAGCACGGCAGACCTGTGCTAGGACTCTCTGACCACCAGAGCTGTATTTTACACCTGTATAGAGACCAATAACTTGTAGGGAAACACCTTCGCTGAGAGCCCTATAATGATACTGCCTGTCACTTCACACTGTAGACCATGTGCTACCACTGAAAACCCCAGCTGTCTCCTTCAACCAATCACAGCCCTGGGATGTGTCACATGACCATAATATGATTAAATGGACCATGAGATTATAGAGGTTGGCCTCTGTATTCTGTAGTCAGGTGAATGAGGAAATATTTTAAAGTGAAAGGAGATTAAAAAGGTACAATCAGTAATTAATCATTGCACAATCCCAGCCGATATTTTCTCATATTGACGGAGGCATAGTCAGCATTCTTTCTAGAAAGTGGTGTGGGGTGGAAATCAATTCTCTTGTTTTGACTCATAACACCATGTGTTTTCATCATTCATTCATACTAAATTCATTACACATAAAACATGAATTTTTAATGAAGTTCATTGAAGGAGCTTTAAATAGAATTTATAAAACAGCAACTGTTCTTCAAACTGATTCATTTAGTACCTGATGTCATAGATTTCAATGAAAAAGATATTTCAAATCTTTAATTTGGTAGAAAATAATCTCTTATCAACAAATGACTACATAAACCTTTGCATTAAATCACATATTAAAAAGGTTAAATAACTGAAAAACAAAATATTTTAAATACTAATATTAAGACTTATAATTCCATTAACATGCATTAATGTTTTTAACCATTTAAAAAAATTAAATGTGGTTCCCAGTATTTACTTTTTAATAGATAATATAAAAATTAAAGGCCATACTCCTGAAACTTTCTCTTGTCACTCAAAAGTATGGAGAATAAATATAATTCAATTTTCTGTCCGTCTCCTATTTGGACTATGAATTATACTTGACAGGAGAGACAAAACTGAAGTCTGTACTTCTCAGGATACATCTTCTCAGTTTTCCACTTAACAAATATCCTCAAGCCAGTTTCTTATGGCAACATCCTCAATTGAATTAGGTCAATTCCGATAAAGTCTATTTTAATGACAATCACAATATCCAAGCTTTTGCTTATTGAGAGAGAGAGAGAGAGAGAGAGAGAGAGGAGGAAGGTGAAAGTAACTAGTCTTAAAAAAGTGAAAAAACAAAATAAACAACATACAAAAACAAGGCAGCAAAGCTGTCAAAAGTACAAACACCAAGACAGAAAAATAATCCAATCAAGCTGGTTTGTCAATTTGCCAAACTGATAAAATATGCTGATTAAAAAAAAAAAAAAAAAAAAAAAAAGACACAGGCGACGGCTATATGTACAGATACATCTAGGTTTATACATAATAAAAAGTCATTTATTATTTGGTACATTTAACCAACAACCATATGATGCTGAAATCAACATAAATGTGTAACTCCTGCCATCTCACTGAAGGATCTGCAGTTAATCCTTTCACATCTACAACCACTTCCACACAAACAGTCAGGTACAAGCAGACAGGATGAGCATAGAGGACGGCACAGTCTGTCCAAATCAGCATGGCAACCACAGATACCATAAAACGTAGAGAGAAACACCATACAAGTGTTAGCACCCTAGGTAGAGACGAGACTAATATGTTTATCTCAAGGATTACACAGAAAGGGGAAGATCCAATCTTCTGTCACTCCCTGCATTTCCAGGAAATACTCTTCGTGGTTCGGACACTAAAGTAAACATATGTTGTGCCACAACTTAACCACTGTTTATCCTGAAAATGCTCCGATATCTTACTCCATTTCAGTTAAATTATAGCTTGGACATATATCATATTTCTAAATGTAAGCAAGTCACTTTTTTCCAAGCGAGTTGAGGTAGCATTCCCCTATTTGTCAAATTGCCTTGCTTGTTTAGTTAAGGCATAGCTCAACACAGATAAACTGAACCACAATGTGCCATCTTTCCTTTATTGTTCCACACTAGTATGAAATAACATTCTATTTCTAGTAATAAAAATATTCTTCTGTTGCATTTAAGGTCTTGGGTAAAAAAAATTGTTAAACATTTGATTTTTTTGTCTGTATCTGTCCTTGTTAAAAAATGCTTCAGTAACTCTGGTATCTTAGCACTGCTGCAAAGAGCCCTAATCATGACTGAGGCATTCACCAGGATCATTCAGGGAATATGTATTGATAGGCTATTTGTAACAAAAACCTGTTGGCAGACCTCCAGTTTGAATGTTTCATACAGCTGTATTCCCAATACCCATCTTTACTTCTCTTAAACATACTCTGTGTTTTGTTTTATATTGTTATACTACACATTTTAACACTCTACTTAATTTCACGGAAACAATATAATCATAAATTGAAAAAAGAAAAAAAAAATTAAGACAACATTTAAATGTTTTCCATGAATGTTTTCTCAGAACATTAAACTAATGTTTTCCCAAACTCATTTGAAAATGTTGTAAAAACATTTTTAATACCATACAAAATTAGGTAATAAAATACTTTTATAACAATTGCAAAAACATTTTAATAAAGTTTCAAAAACATTTTAGCGTTTTCTGGGTTGTCTTCAGTGTGTTAGCTGCACCCTTGATTAGTGCACATTCCAACAAATCTCACCCATCACAATTTTCTTCTCCAAGTCAAGGATCATGAAAATCATTTGTGAATTTCATCATCATTTTTACACTATTTACAAAGCTATTGGTTGGATTTTGTTGTCTTGGGCAATGTTCAAAATAGAAGTTATTGATTGTACTAGCAGGATCAGTCTACATAAGCTGAGTATCTCTCTAACACCCCATTCTCATAGATTAGATCGACCTACATTGGATCGACCTAACTCCCTGGGGGTTCACGCTAAATAGCTGTCAGCCGGGCGGACACGAAAGTTAATTACCCCTTAAAGCTTGTAGTAGGCGGGGACGGACACTTAAGGGGGATTATCTGACAGTAATCTAGTGAGACTCCCCGCAGTGATAGATCGATCTAAAAGTTGTGAGAACAGAGCCTAAGTGCAGTGAATGTAATCAGCTTAATTGTCTGGCAAGCCCACTTTTAACTTAACGTACTTGTCTGGGTAAAGTGGGAAAATCTTTGTTGTGAATGATTTGGTTCATGTTGCCTTGAAAGGGGCCTGCCAGACAATTAAGCTGATTACATTGACAATGCCTTAGTGAGAATCCCCAGATAGACTGATCCTGCTACTTTAATAACTTCTATTCGGAACACAGATTTAGGGGACAAGAATTCCTTTCATAAATTTTGTACCATAACAAAATATTCCACAAATTCTAAATATTTTCCTACAATCAAACATTGGAAACCAGTCACAGATTTATAATTCAAAAATCCATTTTTTTAGCTCTAAGTTTTAGAGACATTCATGTAATGGAGAAACAGACTGGTTAATTTCACAGATGGTAAAAAATAATTATCTATGATACAATGGGCTTAGGGTGCTTTCCCAGAGATTTAGATCGATCTAAAGATTAAGATTTAGATCGACCTAACTCCCTGGGGGTTCACGCTAAATTGCACTCAGCTGAGCGGGCACCATAGTTAATTACCCCCTTACAGCTTTTAGTAGGCGGGACAGACGCTTAAGCCGGCCAAGCTGACAGTAATCTAGTGAGACTCCCCACAGGGATAGATCGATCTAAAAATCTATGGAAATGGGGTGTTATAGATGGCAAAAGTAACAACAGGTTAAGACAGAGAATACCTTGATAAAAAATAGCAAATTGCTGAAATTTCCATTTTTCTTTCTGCTAGATAAAGGTCTAACATATATTATATCTCTTCAAAAAAACAATACCATGTTATTGGAGCTTAAGTCCAGTTATCTAAAAAATGATCGCCTTAATGATAAAAACTTACCAATAGCTCGTGTTCTTGGAGCACCAACCTGCTCTCCATAGCTTATTCTTAGGAGCTCACACTTCCCTGTGACCTTCCGCAGCAACCACTTCAGCATGGGGTGCAGCAGGGTGAAGTAGACGGCATACCAGACACGATTACACAGCACAGAAAACATGAGGGACTAGGAACAGACACACTACTAGCTGGAAAGAATAGAGCATAGTCAAGAACAGGATAGTACATAGGTATATAACAGCAATGAATAGGATAAAGGAAATTACAAAATTCTATTTCAGAGACAAAATTTAACTTCCTGAGCATGTAGATCTATCACAGTCAGTTTTCTTTTACTTCTTCTGTATGGTACATGCTTCAAACCAAGGTAGAAACTGACAATAATTTTTTCATCTTTATCATTTAGCTTTAAAAGGCCTTTCAGAAAATGACAAAATCTGTCTTCTTGAATTTTAACCTTTCTGAATATCTAATAACCAGCACGGATCAGTTCTCATCAACGAATAGGGAATTTTTATTTATACTAATGAATATCTAAATCTCTTCAAAATACTGAAATGTCAGACTTTTGAATGGGTAAAAAAATCAAGGCAAAAGTTGAAAAGTTTCTAGCAGATGAGAAACCAACTCAAAGATATTACAAATGATAAAACTACACAAAACTCACATGAGCAGAAAAGGAGGAAGAGGCTGCTTGGTCTCTTGGGAAGTGAACCTGGAAGTAGTAACAGATATTTTCTGTTTGTGATAATTTTGCCTTTAATAATTGCCAGTAGTTTTCATTAAAAGGCAAAATGATCATGCCCCACAGACTTCTATAAAAATCTCTTAAAACACAAACCAGTGATGGGGTAGCATTAACACTCACCATTTTAGCCACATGCTAAAACTGACTGGAACTGGCTAAACATAATAGGATTGATTTGATTTATTTTAGTCAAATTTAAACCATTTGGCCACAAAAAAAGATGAAAAAGTAGTATTTTGGCTAAACGAAAAAAAATTGCAAATGCCACCCCAGCAGTGGTAGTTACACACGATTGCACTTTTATAAGTATCTCATGCTTATTGTGAACTAAAACAGCTAAACATATTAAAATGATACCACCGAGTTAACTTCACTTTTGATCCCCTTTTCTCTAACCTCACCTCATCTCCTCCCCCCCCCCCCCCATTGCGAGTGTCATACCATGATTGCGCTAGAGAAGATGGCACATCTACCACAGCTGTCATTTATAATACCAGCCTTTATTTAGGACATTGACCCAACATTGTAAGAGTAACAATTCTGTTAACCTGATAAGATAACTGCAGACAATGGCAGTTTTTCTTTGTCTTCAACTTGTAGGTAGATTGGCATATTTGCAAACACATTATCATTTTATGAAACACAAGATTATTTAGTGTACTAATCAGAAAGCTAAAAACTTCTCAAAATATCAAGCCCAAAGGAACCAAACTACCATAATATAAAACAACATTTGGCTTTGTGTCAACTATCTGCAATATAAAACTCATAGTAATTAAGTCAAAAATATCATATTTATTAAGTCAAAAGAAGTGGTATCAGTAAATAATCAGTATGTACTTACAAATATTATGGAAGAAAAGAATCAAGCCTATTATAATGGTGGTTTTCAGAATCCCTATATCATTCAAGTCTTAGTTCATAAATTCTTTGAAGCTGCTGTATCAATGAGGGCAAAACTAGCACTACTTATCATAGTCTTTACTTCATTCCCATGTGGCAGAAAACACATCATCACATAACACGTAGCATATAATTCCACTCGATATGAAATGATATGACTCAAACATGACTCAGGAATTAATATATCTGTTCCTTTGGAAAATGATCACGTACCTAGTTGAACACTGACTGTCACTCTTTTATGTTTGTTTGGTGATTCAGGCAATATGACAATATTGTCATCACTGATAACAAAATACTCACGCTGCTTACATACAATTGTCTGGAACTGATGAAGATGGCTTTAACTACCATAAATAATACCCACTTCTTTCTTTTTTTTCAACTTTGAACAAAAGTTTGAAGATATGGGTGGTAGGTGCATTTTCTCCACATCCCTCATTTTTATTTTGATAAAAAACATAGTAAGACATGGCTTATATTTAAAGGGACCATACAGAGTATTGTCTTTAACTGCCCAAATTATGGCCTCAAATTTCATTGAAGTCAGATGTAAATATCCCTGTTCACAAATGCATTTTTCCTCAAAGTGGAAATTCAGATTGCAAATTTAGTACCAAATAAAAAGTAGTCTTCAAAATATACACAGTTCTTAAGATTAAATTTACAGGGAACCCAATTATGGTGTAATTTGGAAATGACATCAGCATTACTATTTTTTATCCCCAGTCCAAACTTTATCATCAGAGTTTTTCATCTCTAGCACTCCATAAATCATCATATCTTTTTTCGCTTTCTAATCATACCAACGATTGCCTTTGGAGCTGATTCTGCACTGTACTGGCATTGAAGGTAGGCAAAAATAGCAGGGTGATACCCCCCCGCCCCCCCCCCCCCCCATTTGAACTCCTCCCCAGATCCATATTATGCCATTGCTGTGACGGGGTCTCTTCAGTCTGTTAAAAGTGGGATATTAGGAACCAATAAAGTGGTACACCGCCGACAACTAAATCCAGTAAATTAATGCACTGAAAATAAATCCATTCGACACGTTTCCTTGCTTACCTCATCAGAGCTTAATCCTATTTTCCAATATTGCGCTTTCTGAACAATTTTGTTAAAAGCAATTCTATTGGACACTTGTGTGGCTCTCTCGATGGAAAAATGTCTTTGTTTAACATTTGTCTGCATCAATTAATGAAACAAAATATACCTTGTGATAAAATGGTATCTTTTAAATATAGCAAGCTAATTTTGTAGTTCTGAGATAATAAAAAGCAACGCACAATACCACTATTTTCTTTTTTTATCACAAAGACCATTTGCTTATGTGGACCAATCAAAATAGGTGTTTTAATAGCAGCAGTCTCCAAGTAACCAAGCAGAGCTAAAGATATATTTTGAATTTACGTGAAATAAAATATGTTTGTGTTTAATGATAGAATAGAAAGAGTAGATACATTACGAATTTATCATCAAATATTGAGACAAGCAGTCTTATTACTTTAACGCATTCATAAAATATTCATGACATTGTTTTTGTTTACATGCCGAAACTATGTCTCCAAGTTTTATCTATGGTAGACGTAGTTCCAAATAAAGAAGCATGGCGGGCAGTGAAAGAGGGGAGATTGTTTTAGAATTCTTGAATATACTTCTGTTTTTAAACGTTTTTACCAGCAACACACAAGGAATTCAAGGATTTGATAGCCATGGACAAGGTAATTTACTACATAAACATCACTCGATCTGTGATAAATAATATAACCTTGAAGTAAAGTGGACGTATGTCTGTGAAATTTATCGTCTTGACATCATTCTCACTTCAGACTTCGATATAATCTCCGATGTAATTTATTTTTACATAGATTGACAAAAATCGTCATTCAATTGGTTCAGAGTGTCGTATTTTATATTTCAGTATTTATCCAAACTGACAATGAACTCAGATACATGGTGGACGGTCCACACTTGCCTGTGAGTGCCAAATAACCTACATCACGTACTTGAAATTTCAAAACACGTTGATCTACATCGACGTGAACTTGTATTGTAGAGATTACAGTGCTCATGGTGTACTTTTTATGTTTTTTCAAGATTGTATCATCAAGTACATTTCACAGAAATGATTACAGTTTTGTAAATTATAGTGTATTATTTGGCTCTTGGACACGTGTATACTTAACATTTAAGTAGTCAGATGTGGCCATAGATACATCTTGATCAAGACAAGGGGGTTGATTACTAGCTTTCTGTTTTCACCTGTGGTCTTGTGCCAAGTCATATAGAATGAGATGAGAACAGTTGATAAGAATTAGTGGCCCAACTGCCCGTCTTCTGTGCTGTGGCTATAGTGTCTCCTACCCTCCAAAGATGTCTATACAGATGTTGTTTGGATTTTGGTCTTTTCTGAATGTGTTCTGGTTTCTCCAGAAGTTTGTTCTAGATTATACTAAAGGCAGAACTATGGGGACTAGCTGTAACAGATCTGGAAGTAAAGTATGTACTAGTATCTGGTAATGTCACATTGTTTGCCAGGTTGATTATTTGATACAAAATTTGGAGCTTAGGTAGTATACCATATATATAGTTTTTGAGATTATATAGTTGTTATATGTTATTGAAATTAAAACCTTCATTGTTCTCAAATGGTTTTTATTTATTTTTCAGAACGTACCAGGAGGAGAATTCCCAGATATTAATAGGTAAGGCAGAAACTGAGATGTTTGTTTTTATCTTGAACTTCTAAAACTGGGACATTGATAAGTTGGTTATTATTTGTATGCTTCAAATTTTATCTTGATAGATATATGAGAAGCTGTAGAAAGCATAGGATAACTGTATCGTGTGTATGTACATTACTTTCCATTAAAACGTGGCTGTTCCTATTCATTTTAAAGCCCCAAAATAACTAGCTGAATAACTTTAACTTATGTTTATCTTTTAAGCTTCTGTAGTAACACAGTATAGTATTATAAGCACTGTTGTGGGAACAGTAATCTCTTTCACAGTCATTACAGAGGAGTGACTAACAGTTAACCCAAGGAATATCAACTGTAATATTAATTGAAAGCTTTGAAACTATGCACAAAAAAGGAAACTGAATTTGGTTAAGGAAAAAAAAGACATTTGAAAGGTTTAAGCCTCTATACTGCAAATCTTTGCATCTTTTTTGCTACTGGTCAGAAAGTTATTCTAACAGGAAGAAGGTTAAATGATAACCGCAGGTGAGGGGACAGTGTGCTAAGCACAAAACCATTAAGAGTGCAGAGATAATGGGAAGAGAGAGATATTCAGCATGATAGCAGCTAGCCATGAGTAAAACTGTAATTTTGAGCAGGCAGAATATTTTATAAACAAGGGTAATTACCCAAATTATGGCTATGCATGATATGGTATGTGTATATACATGTGCCGTGGCAGCAAAATTTTCTTCTATATCGTGCTAGCAGTTTTTGCTATATAGCTCATTGTCTGTTCATTCCGGGAATGAAAAACATAGCTGCATCAACAAATGCTCTAAATAAAGATGTTTTGGGTCAAATGGCAAGAATAAAAGATTCAGATGGATTTACTTGTATTTTGATGCTTTGCATCAGAAAAGCTATTGATCACTTAGCCAACATGGCAGGATTTCATTGGTCAATGGAGAAGCTAAGGTAAAAGGGACTCGCGCAAATCAATAGTCTGGTGTTGGTGGGACGAGCTCTAATGGAGATATTGATTGACTATCCAGGAGCTCATCAGCCAGGCGAGTATGCTCCTTAACAACAATGATAGTGGCTTTTTCCCTGGGACAGCAGACAAATGTATGCAAACACTACTTTACATATCGTTTAAAAAGCTTTTTGTAGCCAAGATGAAAGAGGTGAATATCTATTTGGGGAATGCTAACCTTATGACTAGTATGAAGTGAATTCTGTTTAGCTAAGTAAAATACCTGATATTTGTTGTGTAGGTACTTTATGTTGTGATGATTTGGAATTAGACAAGAGAACATTGAAATGGTATTTGTGTTGAGACGTTTAAGAAAGATATACAATTTGAAGATAGATGGGCCACTGCCAGAAGATTGAATGAGATACTGCAGAATGAAACACGATTGGAAAAAAAATATTATACTGAAAGAAAATAAAATTGAAATTTGAAAAATAAATAGGAAAGAAAAGTACAGCTGTAAAATGTTCACTGTTTGAAAACTTTAGTCCTGTGCATAAGAAGGAATCCATGACTATTTATACTAAATAAATAAATAAATAAATAAATAAATAAATAAATAAAATAAAAAATCAAATCCAGAAAAATCAAAACCTGAGTCTAATTTTTTTTCCTGCAAGGTTCCCTAAGACGTTTTGTACTATTATCAAAAATCTGATCTACCCTCCATGAACAGAAAAGATCAGAAATATCGTAGACAAGGAAAGAGTGGTAATTATAATAGAAGGCAGTCTAGCCATGTGGTATGCTGAAGGTATAAATTAAATCTTTGATTGGGCAAAACTTTGCAGTTGCTTTAATGATAATAATACGTTTCTTATTTGGCGCCTTGACGTACTACCTTGAGGTGCCTTACAATAGATAATATAACTAAAATTTCACATTTACTTCTAAAGTTGCAGCATTTCTCTCATAACCGCTATTTAATAAAACGAGCTGATTCATAGAGACTTATCTTTACCATTTGACCCATATTACTGTAAGTGCATCCATATATTTTTTGTCTCTTTAGAATGATTTCATTTTGTTTATCAATAGTTATAAAAAGCCAAAGTTGACCAGCCTGTTCACTTAAAATGTTCAGTTCCAATTATGGCAATATTTATTCATCAAGGCCTATAAATATTTTTCTGCTGCTATTCTGGCAAAAGATTGAGGAGGAAGATCATAGCAGAAGTGATTAATTTAACTAATTGGTTTATAGTCATTGCCTGCCGCAGACCTCTTAGTTCAGTAGTCTGAATGTTTTCAATATATCCATATAGAACATCAGCAGTGAGATCAATATGTGGAGTGGGGACTGCCATAATGTGATATATGGCCAGGTGAAGTTGAAGTGGAACTTCTCCTAGTTTGCCGTGTGAGGTCTCTAATGGGATACTGATTATGTATAGTGGTTTTTGATGACCGGAGGAAGTGTGTATGTGGATCTGTTTGGGGGTTTGTGGTCTGCTATCACATGTATTTTGAAATTCAATGTTGTGGCTGGACAAAGTGGTCACTTGTATAAATTTGATATCGTGTTGGGTCTTGCAGAATCGGCTTCACTGTGTGATAACAAAAGGCTAGTTTCTTTTACCTTTTTCATAAGCATTGCTTATGAAAGCCAAGAGGTAGACTGCATGAACCAATAGGAGAGTTCATTGACACCAGTGGAATAAACATTTTTCTGTTTGTCATTGAGAACATGAATAAGAATATTTGTTGTACTGAATTGTTTTTTTTTTTAAATACGACATGATTAAAGCATGACAAAATTTTCAAACATGGTGTATGTATTTTTTCCTCAACTTGGAACAATGCAGATTTTAAGTAAACTCATTCATTTTTTTAGTTTAATAATCTTATCAATTAATTGCAGGTGTAATGATAATACAAGCACTTGTGATTGCTTCTATGAATGCAAAAATAGCTGTACAGAGTTGAAAGGCTGTGACTTTTAACTTGTAGAAATGCACAAACTATCACTTTTTGGTTCTGTAAGTGTTCAAGTTGGTTGGCCGGTAGAGATATTGTACTAAAGCACTGAACCACTCCTTACCATTGTCATTTAAGGTTGTTTCTTACGTCAAATATTGAATGCACCAAGCAAGCCATGCATTGTAGTTTTCTATGGGCATGGCTTGCACTGAAGGCTGCTGAAAGTTCTGTTTATGGTGGTGCTGTAATGAAAAGAAAATGCAGAGTGATGAAAAGAAAATGTTAGAGAATAGACTACCTTGTTTATGTGAAGGTTGAACCAACATTGAGGCTGGATAATTCACTCACTCATTTGAATTTAAATCTTCTAATCAGTCCCAGAAGGCCTTACCCTTACTTTGTCTACCTCTGTCTAGCCAGGGTGGTAATTCTCAGATATTTGAATTTCATAAAACTCCTGCTTTTGCTCTTGATAGTTTTTAGTATGGGTATTAAGTGAATCTGGTATCCAAGTGACATTTTAATAGGGGGGTTTTTGCTTTAAACTGGTCAGTACGTCCATAAATTTAAGATGCCACTAGGTTTGAAAGTGACTTTGAAACCATAGCATCATTTATATTAATTTTTGCCAATGGCAGTAAGTTTAACCAATAGATA